ATTGAATTTGAGATTATCGCGGTTTTTTTTTTTTTTTTTCACTTTTACTCTGGCTACAAAAGAAGTAGTTGCTGCAGCGAGTCGTCGCTTCTCGATGCCGATGATGCTTGGCAGTCGCAAGTATCGATGGTCTCTTGCAGCGCACCGTGCCTCGCACTGGAGGTATCTGCCGACAGTGCTAAAAGGTTAGTCGGCACAATCTCTGCACATTTTCTTTTCAGTTTTTTCTCTTTTCGCTTAGGGGCCTGAATTCCTTGTTATATTAAAACGCCTTTGAAAGTTGACCCAAAGGTATGCTTGCAATAAGTTCTCGAGTGCCTCTTCTTGCCCTTCTGTTTCAGCAGGCAGTCTGTTCAAAAGCAGTGCATGTCGCGCTTGTAACAGAGAATGTGCTCTACTGTTTTTAAGGCCAGCCCAAATAGTGCTTTCGAATCAAGTAACGTTTTGTCTTCTGTCACCGTTTTTTCCATGCGAAATGGCGCCGTCTCAGGTTGACTTCTTATTTGCTCCGTAACAAATTATCAGTACTGAATTTAGCATCCGGGGGCCCCTTAGAATTTGCTGACAGCTTTGCACCTCCTTTTTCCGCTGAATCTGAGATGAACAGTTCTATCTCTACATTTCCTCATGCCCTGTCATATATTTTTTACAATTTCGTAATAATTTTGAACTGATGAATAATGCAGCCAAATTTAATGTTATTATCAGTATTGTTGTATTTGTTATTATCAGTACTGTCAGTATTATTCTGTTTTCTCACTTTTGCAATTAATATTACGGCATTATTATTCTCTATCTTGATATTGTAACTTTATTACTTTTTTTTGATTATATTTATTGTTTTCTTTTACTACAACTCTATCATTATTCGTAATCCTATTAATACGTTTCATTTAGCGTCTAAATTTTATGTCCTTTTAGCTAAAGCTGTGTTTCGCTTTCACTCTCTGCCTCGATTTTGGTTTTTTTTTTCACACGTGACAGTTTTGGAGATTGCTTCTCCCGTCGTTTCACTTTCGCCACACATATGCAGGAAACTGGAATCGATAGTTATATTTCGGTCTTTGACAGCACTCTGTAAGGAAGGAATCTAAAAGTGGCTACCGAAAACACAAGGACCACCCGAGTAGCTGATGTGGAGATCCAGTGTTGCTGTGGAGCAGCCACCCTAGTCCTTGCAACTCTCCTTGCATCTCGAGCGAGCGAATTCGAGTTTTTTAAATTCTTTGAATGAAATTGGTATGTGTTGAGCGCTCAAAAGTGCAGAAAAAGAAAAAGTAGGAAGTGGAGAGGGCTGCACTGGAAGTTTGTAAATAAAGCAAAAATGTGTTCGGGAAAGCTGACATTGGAAATTGTTGCAGAAGAGAGTTGGAGGAGCGGAGATCAGGCCTGAACAAGCGTCGATGTGGGGGCTGCTCGTTGGCTGCACTCGTATTTGTTCTCTTACAGTTTGAAGTTGTCATTGTACCGCTCGGAGCGGTGCACTCCAGTACAAGTGAGCAACAGCACATTCCATATTTCTAGCGAATTTTTTGCATTAAAGAACTTTCATGCGATTAGCTTTTTTTGTTGAAAATAACAGCAAAAAATGGGCTTTTTTTAAGCGTAATTTTGAAATAGTGGCATCTGCCAGTTTTTTGTCCTCAGCTGAGGATTAGGCCACCAATAATCGCTGGAAAAGCTTACAATTCGTTATTACCTGGGAAGAAATTATAATTAGTTGATTATGTCCACCCCAAATAATTTGGTTAAAGCAGTCATTTTTGTTTTCAAAAGTACCAAAAGTATTTGTGGAGGATGTAAAAGAAAAAATAGAGCGGTGCAGCAGGACGCAAAATGTAAACAAAAAGAAGTGCAGTTTTGGCTCGAAGGGGGAGGGGGGAGAAACATAATCAATATTTTATTAAAGAGAGGCGAATAACTTTCAAAAATGCGGAATTTTCTCTCAAAATTCATCGAAAATGAGACGGTGTTTTAATAGACTGGCAAGGCCTCGTCCCCTTCGGTTGTTTGCCGTGTGTACTGTTTGTATGCAGTGCGACTGAAGTTACTTTTCGCCATTGTACAGCTCGAATTTGCAGATGTTCACGGGTATCCTCAGAGAGATGACCGACGGCACCATACTTGGAAGCGCAGCAT